AAAGACTAATGTATTTAAGAATAATTCCCAGCAGAATAGCTGGTGAATTTATAATGGTATGTGGTGATGATATCCCGTTTTCTTTAGACGGTAATTCCACTACAAGTTACGTTTTCTATGGGTAACTTGTTGGTAATACAGCTATTATCTGTATGATTATTAAATGGTGTCGGATTTTCCGACACTAATCTCTCTATATTATGCACTAATCTATCCCTATCTCAACTATGGTATCTGTGCATGGGGTTCAACCACTGCTAACCACCTCAAGTCCATCATCACCCAGCAAAAATCTGTTATCAGAATAATAACAAATTCTGCTTTCAAACAACACTCAGCCCCCTTGTTTAACTCCCTAAACATGCTAAACATAATCTCACTCCACAAATTCTCTTGTGTCAACTACATTTTCAAAACCCTGTTCTTAAATGCAAATCATGCTCTGAAACTCTCCCTGGACAGATGTAATAGGACCCATTATCACCACACCAGAAATAAATATCTCCTTGATATTCCCAGAGTCAAACTTAATCTGTGTAAACACTCTATGTAAATAAAGGGCCCCAGTCTATGGAACTCACTCCCTATTGAATTGAAAAGCTGTCCAACTTTTGCGTGATTCAAAAACAATACTAAAAAGTACCTAATTTCATCTTCATAGTTTTTTTACCTTTTGCTACCCAATCTCCCAATCTTTATGTACCCAATCTGAACATCTTTATCATTGTGATCATTGCTGTCTTCTTATATGTCCTCTCAATCAGCTGTATGGTGTCTATTAATCTTGTTTAAATTATCAATCAAGCTGTCAATGTAATCAATCAGAGCTTTAATATACCAATGTGCTTTAATATACTTACTAAGCTCTCTCATCTCATTTGTTTCTTGCAATGTACTTGTTATCATTTATTATTTCTGATAGAAATTACCTACTTAAAATTATCTGTTAGATTATTTTATTTTATTTTATTTTATTTTATTTTATTTATGCATATACAAGAATGTACATAAGGAATGTGAGGATACAAATATGGTAATTACAGTCTTGTAAAGCCACTAGCACGCGCAGCGTTTCGGGCAGGTCCTTAATCTAAGAAAATTTTAAGGAGGTAAATACTTGCAAAATTATAGACAAAAAATGATAACAGATTACATGAAATGAAAAAAAAGATGAGAGAAAATTGTAGGTACAGTATATTAAAGCACATAGGTAGCTAAGATTGATTGCAATGACAGCTTGAATGGTAGTTGACAAAAAAATTGGTAGGCATAATACAGCAGAAACAATATAAGATTGGTTGCAATGACAGCTTGAATGGTAGTTGACAAAAATTGGTAGTCACAATACAGCATATGGCTAGCACATAGATGAAGACAGCAATGAACACAATGATAAGGTTGTTTGAAATTACATAAAAATTAGGAGATTGGGTAACACTAGGTACAGAGCAAATTTAAAGCGCAGTGTAGGAAACTAAGAAGATGAAGTTAGGTACTTTTTGGTTTTGCTTTTAAATAAGGCAAAAGTTTTACAGTTTTTCAATTCACTAGGGAGTGAGTTCCATAAACTAGGTCCCTTAATTTGCATAGAGTGTTTACACAGATTAAGTTTGACCCTGGGGATATCAAAGAGATATTTATTTCTGGTGTGGTGATAATGGGTCCTATTACATCTGTCCAGGGAGAGTTTCAGAGCATGGTTTGCATTTAAGAACAGGGTTTTGTAAATGTAGTTGACACAAGAGAATGTGTGGAGGGAGTTAATATTTAGCAAGTTTAGGGATTTAAACAAGGGAGCTGAGTGTTGTCTGAAAGCTGAGTTAGTTATCATTCTGATAGCAGATTTTTGCTGTGTGATGATGGGCTTAAGGTGGTTTGCAGTGGTAGACCCCCATTCACAGATACCATAATTAAGATAGGGGTAAATTAGTGCATAATATAGTGAGAGGAGAGCAGAGTTAGGAACATAATATCTGATTTTGGAGAGTATACCAACTGTCTTAGAGACTTTCTTAGTTATGTGTTGAATGTGGGTGCTAAAGTTGAGTCTCTTGTCTAGGAATAGGCCAAGAAACTTGCCATCATCTTTATTACTGATGTTAATGTTGTCTATCTGTAGCTGAATTGCATTTGATGATTTGCTTCCAAATAAGATGTAGTAAGTCTTTTCGATGTTTAATGTTAGTTTGTTCGTTGACATCCATAAGTGGACTTTTTTTAATTCATTATTCACAACATTATTTAGTGTATGTGGGTTGAGGTTTGAATAGATAAGAGTAGTATCGTCAGCAAACAGTATAGGTTTGAGAATATTAGAGACATTAGGCAGATCGTTTATATATATAAGAAATAGAAGAGGTCCTAAGATGCTGCCCTGTGGCACTCCAACGGTAATTGGTAGAGTGGACGAAGTTGTATCATTGATGGTTACATATTGGTGTCTGTCACTAAGATAGGATCGGATGTAGTCAAGGGCAAGGCCTCGGATTCCATAATGCTGGAGTTTAAGTAAGAGGTAGTTGTGATTAACAGTATCAAAGGCTTTTCTTAGGTCAATGAAGAGTCCAATCGGAAACTCATTTTTGTCAAGGGCTGAGTAGATAACGTCAAGGAGACTAATGATTGCATCGTTGGTGCTCTTTTGGGACCGGAAGCCAAACTGGCAGGGGCTGAGTATGTCGAATTTTACGAGGTAGGAATAGAGCTGTTTGTAAATAATTTTTTCAAATATTTTTGATAGAATGGGTAGATTTGATATTGGTCTATAATTGTTTATGTCCGCCGGATTGCCTCCTTTATGGACTGGCGTTACTCTTGCTTTTTTGAGGATATCAGGGAAGGTGTGACACTCTATAGATTTGTTGAACAGTAGTGCTATGGGTGGGGCAAGGGCATGGGAGGCTCTCTTGTACACAATGGACGGAATTTCACTGGTGTTCCCTGCCTTGGTTTTTAGAGAGTGTATGATGGACACAACATCTGCCGGGCTGATTGGTGAAAGGAGAAGAGAGTTTGGATAGCTGCCTGAGAGATATGTGTTAATAAGTGTCTGAGTCTGTGGGATTTTACTGGCAAGATTAGCACCAACCGATGAAAAGAAACTATTAAATTCATTTGCCATTTCTAAATCAGTTGACGGTATATCCCCATCCTTGTAGAGTTTTATTTGGTTATGTGAGTGTTGCTTAGTTCCAAGGATACTAGAGATAGTTTTCCAAGTTGCCTTTTGCTTCATTGAATCTATTCACATAATATGCAAGTTTTGCCTTTCTTATGATACTGGTAAGCATTGATGAGTACCTTTTAGCTACTTCCTTTGAAACTAGGCCAATCCTAACTTTCTTTTCATATTCATGTTTCTTGTTGATTGAGTTGAGAATGCCACTTGTGAGCCATGGATTGTTTAATCTTTTGTCAGTTACTTGCTTTGTAAGAAGGGGACAATGAAGGTTGTAGAGGCTTAGAGTTTTGGAGAGGAAGAGGTTAGCTAATGAATTTATATCATGGGTATTATTGAATTCAGAATCCCAGTTAATATTGTGAAGTGCCTCTGTAAGATTGTCTAAAGCTGATTCACTGTGTAGCCTAAATGAAAGTTTCTTGCTTTTTGGTGGTGCTATGTCCATGTTCGCTATGAGAAAGGTAGGATAGTGGTCAGTTGTTCTGTCGTAGATTATACCAGATACAAGGGGAGCTGTTATGTTTGTCCATATGTGGTCCAAGGTAGTGGCTGATGTTTGAGTGACTCGGGTAGGTTTGGTGATAGTGGGGATTAGCATACAGGAGTTCATGCTGTTAAGGAAATAGTCAACTTGAGAGCAATTTTGTTGACCCAGGTCAACATTAAAGTCTCCTCCCAGAATGATGTGGTTTTTGTTGAGATTGTTGTTTATTAAGGACCTGCCCGAAACGCTGCGCGTATTAGTGGCTTTACAAGAGTGTAAATACTATCCAATGTATTCTCACAAACCCAATGTACCTTCTTGTGTATAAATAAATAAATAAATAAATTTGTAATAAGGCAGAATTACTTAGATATCGAAGTGTAATAATTATCTGAGTTTACTTGAGAGCTACTTATAGTGGCCTCGATGAGAACAGGAGGCCGGCGGCTTGTCGAAGATCCCCCCATTTGCCTTGATGATCTTTTCCTGATGATGATAATTCCTATAGTGTCCTAATACCTAAGGTAAACTTGTGTCTAGTGGTCACAAACGGAGACGGGAAGCCGGCAGCTTGTCAATGGTTCCCCCATTTTTCCTAAGTTTCCTCCTTTACTTCCCTAATTTTCCTCCTTCCCCCCCACAAAAAAGAGTAACAACAACAAAAAAGACTCTGGGGTTGGAGTCCCTGTGCCTTCTTTTACCAACTTCGAGGTTAACTCCGGAGCTGGAGCCCCCTGGGGGCAGTTCCTTGTTACCTTCAACCTCGTCCTGACAGTTCCTGTGACGGCGCTGGAACCAATCTTATTGGCGTTTGCCTTTCCAATGGAGACGTTCGGTGCTGTGGAGAGGGGGACCTGCTGCATGGGTGACAGCTTCTCCCCCTTATCAACCTACCCTGGCTTTGCGCCCTGGTGAGGCCACTCCAGACCGACAACCAGAACGCAACTCCATAGTCTCCTGAGACAGATGGACGCCTACTACTGGGATGGTCCACCAGTTTTTACATTCTTGTAAAGCCACTAGCACGAATAGGGTTTCGGGCATGTTCGCTATCCTAATACGGCTAAGTCCTAAGATTAATATTAATCTTAATTAATAACCCCGGAATACGACCCGTCAAATCGTTTTACTGCTGAGTGAAGAGAGGCGTAATGTTAAGGATTGGAACCCAGTCAATCCTCCCCGGCTAGAATACGAACCCAGACTAAATTGTTCGCGAAGTGCAGGGGCTAGGGTTTCACCACTGCGCCATGGGGACTGCATGCACGGGGACCAGTCATTGAAAGTTGCACAACAATTGGGAACTCTAATAAGAAAGTCAACTTTATTTTCAAGGAAAATAAAGTTATTGAACTGCAAACATCTCTGGTGCGGCCACATTTGGACTGCTGTATCAAGCATAGAGGCCTCAGCTTCACAACATATCTGCTGTGGAGAAAGTACAACACAGAGCGACAAAAAGCATCTCAGAACTATATCGGCTCCCATACCAGGAACGGTTGAGGGCCCCAGGACTAACACAGCAAGCCAGACGGGGCATGGTGGCTCCCATACCAGGAACGGTTGAGGGCCCAGGACTAACACAGCAAGCCAGACGGGGCATGGCGGCTCCCATACCAGGAACAGTTGAGGGCCCCAGGACTAACACAGCAAGCCAGACGGGGCATGGTGGCTCCCATACCAGGAACGGTTGAGGGCCCCAGGACTAACACAGCAAGCCAGACGGGGCATGGTGGCTCCCATACCAGGAACGGTTGAGGGCCCCAGGACTAACACTGCAAGCCAGACGGGGCATGGTGGCTCCCATACCAGGAACGGTTGAGGGCCCCAGGACTAACACAGCAAGCCAGACGGGGCATGGTGGCTCCCATACCAGGAACGGTTGAGGGCCCCAGGACTAACACAGCAAGCCAGACGGGGCATGGTGGCTCCCATACCAGGAACGGTTGAGGGCCCCAGGACTAACACAGCAAGCCAGACGGGGCATGGTGGCTCCCATACCAGGAACGGTTGAGGACCCCAGGACTAACACAGCAAGCCAGACGGGGCATGGTGGCTCCCATACCAGGAACGGTTGAGGGCCCCAGGACTAACACAGCAAGCCAGATGGGGCATGGTGGCTCCCATACCAGGAACGGTTGAGGGCCCAGGACTAACACAGCAAGCCAGACGGAGCATGGTCGCTCCCATACCAGGAACGGTTGAGGTGCCCCAGGACTAACACAGCAAGCCAGACGGGGCATGGTGGCTCCCATACCAGGAACGGTTGAGGGCCCCAGGACTAACACAGCAAGCCAGACGGGGCATGGTGGCTCCCATACCAGGAACGGTTGAGGGCCCCAGGACTAACACAGCAAGCCAGACGGGGCATGGTGGCTCCCATACCAGGAACGGTTGAGGGCCCCTGGACTAACACAGCAAGCCAGACGGGGCATGGTGGCTCCCATACCAGGAACGGTTGAGGGCCCCAGGACTAACACAGCAAGCCAGATGGGGCATGGTGGCTCCCATACCAGGAACGGTTGAGGGCCCCAGGACTAACACAGCAAGCCAGACGGAGCATGGTGGCTCCCATACCAGGAACGGTTGAGGGCCCCAGGACTAACACAGCAAGCCAGATGGGGCATGGTGGCTCCCATACCAGGAACGGTTGAGGGCCCCAGGACTAACACAGCAAGCCAGACGGGGCATGGTGGCTCCCATACCAGGAACGGTTGAGGGCCCCAGGACTAACACAGCAAGCCAGACGGGGCATGGTGGCTCCCATACCAGGAACGGTTGAGGGCCCCAGGACTAACACAGCAAGCCAGATGGGGCATGGTGGCTCCCATACCAGGAACGGTTGAGGGCCCCAGGACTAACACAGCAAGCCAGACGGAGCATGGTGGCTCCCATACCAGGAACGGTTGAGGGCCCCAGGACTAACACAGTAAGCCAGATGGGGCATGGTGGCTCCCATACCAGGAACGGTTGAGGGCCCCAGGACTAACACAGCAAGCCAAACGGGGCATGGTGGCTCCCATGCCAGGAACGGTTGAGGGCCCCAGGACTAACACAGCAAGCCAGACGGGGCATGGTGGCTCCCATACCAGGAACGGTTGAGGGCCCCAGGACTAACACAGCAAGCCAGACGGGGCATGGTGGCTCCCATACCAGGAACGGTTGAGGGCCCCAGGACTAACACAGCAAGCCAGACGGGGCATGGTGGCTCCCATACCAGGAACGGTTGAGGGCCCCAGGACTAACACAGCAAGCCAGACGGGGCATGGTGGCTCCCATACCAGGAACGGTTGAGGGCCCCAGGACTAACACAGCAAGCCAGACGGGGCATGGTGGCTCCCATACCAGGAACGGTTGAGGGCCCCAGGACTAACACAGCAAGCCAGACGGGGCATGGTGGCTCCCATACCGGGAACGGTTGAGGGCCCCAGGACTAACACAGCAAGCCAGACGGGGCATGGTGGCTCCCATACCGGGAACGGTTGAGGGCCCCAGGACTAACACAGCAAGCCAGACGGGGCATGGTGGCTCCCATACCAGGAACGGTTGAGGGCCCCAGGACTAACACAGCAAGCCAGACGGGGCATGGTGGCTCCCATACCAGGAACGGTTGTGGGCCCCAGGACTAACACAGCAAGCCAGACGGGGCATGGTGGCTCCCATACCAGGAACGGTTGAGGGCCCCAGGACTAACACAGCAAGCCAGACGGGGCATGGTGGCTCCCATACCAGGAACGGTTGAGGGCCCCAGGACTAACACAGCAAGCCAGACGGGGCATGGTGGCTCTCATACCAGGAACGGTTGAGGGCCCCAGGACTAACACAGCAAGCCAGACGGGGCATGGTGGCTCCCATACCAGGAACGGTTGAGGGCCCCAGGACTAACACAGCAAGCCAGACGGGGCATGGTGGCTCCCATACCAGGAACGGTTGAGGGCCCCAGGACTAACACAGCAAGCCAGACGGGGCATGGTGGCTCCCATACCAGGAACGGTTGAGGGCCCCAGGACTAACACAGCAAGCCAGACGGGGCATGGTGGCTCCCATACCAGGAACGGTTGAGGGCCCCAGGACTAACACAGCAAGCCAGACGGGGCATGGTGGCTCCCATACCAGGAATGGTTGAGGGCCCCAGGACTAACACAGCAAGCCACAGTATACAGAACAGTGTACAGTATACAGAACAGTGTACAGTATACAGAACAGCGTACAGTATACAGAACAGCGTACAGTATACAGAACAGTGTACAGTATACAGCACTCCATACAGTATACAGAACACTGTACCAATAATCCTGTTCAATAACGATGGTCAGCTTTCAGCCACTGATACTGCTATTGAATTCAATAGGTTCTTCTCATCCATTGGGTCATCGCTTGCTAATGATAGTCTCTGTACCTGACGCCTGCTAATTCCATTGATGTTAATGAGATAATCCTTTCCCCTAAAACCAAGTCTAGTGCCCTTGAGGAGATACCAACTCTAATTTACAAAAAAGCCTCCCGATCTTTAGCTCCTGCCATTGCATTACTCTACAACAAGTCACTTGAACTCCAAACCTTTCCAGATATTCTAAAAAAAATCGAGAGTAATCCCAGGCTATAAATGTGGTGATCTCACTGATGTCAACAACTTCAGATCTATATCAATTCTGCCAAACTTGTCAAAAATATCTGAAAAACTAATCTACAAGCAGCTTTACTCTTATCTAGCCAAACACAATATACAGTACTTATCTCGTGTCAATAAGGCTTCAGACCCCCCCAAAAAAGCACTAACGATACACTTATTAGTATCATTAACTTGATACATGCAGCTCTTGATAAAAATGAGTAGTTCCCTGTTGGGTTATTTGTGGACCTGCGTAAGGGTTTTGACACTGTCAACCACCAAAACCTTCTTCTTAAATTACATCATTATGGACTCTGCAGGTGGAAAGTCCCATTGTGTGAAGAGCACTAGAATGGTGGAGATGTGATTATAAACTAGTGAAGATATTGACTCTTATATGTTTCACCTTTTTTAAGCCGGGTCTTTCCCTCTAACCCCGTCCACTCCCACAGCAGTACACAGGTGCACATAGTTACACAGCAGTACACAGGTGCACATAGTTACACAGCAGTACACAGGTGCACATAGTTACACAGCAGTACACAGGTGCACATAGTTACACAGCAGTACACAGGTGCACATAGTTACACAGCAGTACACAGGTACACATAGTTACAAAAGCAGTGTGTAAACAAGAGGCTGGGCTGATATATTTGGAGGAGAGTGTGAAGCCCAGACTGTTACTGGGTCTCAGCCAGCAAAGGAGGCGCCACGCTGCCAGATGCATCAGTGTAAACATTGCCCCAACATCCCGGTGGAGTGTTTAAGGCACTCAACAACGGGTCGTTAGCAGTGTCTCCTATGACCTATGTGTCATGTTAGCAGTGTCTCCTATGTGTCGAGAATGGCTGATCTTAATTACCTCAGGGAATGTTATTGATGAAGAACAATCGTCAAGGAACTTACCAATATTAGACATATATGTGCAAGTTAGTGTACCCATTTATTGCTGTCCATTATGTGGAGTGTTTGACCATATGTTGATTTATTGGTAACTATTTTTGGCCAGGAAGTGAAGGTTATGTGGTGAAGATATTGAACACATGAGCACATTAGTTGTATGTACAGTTTTGGCCAGGAGGTGAAGGTTATGTGGTGAAGATATTGAGCACATTAGTTGTATGTACACTTTTGGCCAGGAGATGAAGGTTATGTGGTGAAGATATTGAGCACATTAGTTGTATGTACACTTTTGGCCAGGAGGTGAAGGTTATGTGGTGAAGATATTGAGCACATGAGCACATTAGATATATGTACAGTTTTGACCAAAGGTTCACCTCAGTTACAGAAGAGACAGTCACGTGTGATATAAGACAATTAACAACATGTTTGTAACATGGTGTAACGGGAGTGTTGAGGAGAGTTCAAGAAGAGTACACTGAGGGGTTGTGGGTCCACCCTCAGTTAATATCAATATTTGCCATCGTCATTAATTTGTATTAAATGTTCTATTTTTTGACTTAGGAGTTTATTTCCTACCTCTGCAGGTGTGGAAGTGAACCGAGAGTAATTAAAGCCCATCACTATTTCTCGAATACATATTGTTACTAATCAGGATGGGAATAATTAAATTAGTGAGAAAATCCTTAGGAGCCGTGATGAGGATTCGAACCATTGTGGTAGGTATTTTCATTTCCCAGACAATCAGGCCACGACATAGAAAAGAACTGCAATCTGGAGTTCTGCTGAACACACAAGGGTTTTCTGAGGCTTCCCCCACCCCCATGGGGGGGGGGGGGGAAGTAATCACATGTAATCACATGTTAAGGTAATCACATGTTAGGGGTAATCACATGTTAAGTGTCATTACTCTGTGTATTAAAAGAGGAGCATCAGAGGTAGAACATTCCTAGATGACAGCGAGAGTGCATGGGGGATTGTGTGAAAATCC